TGTATATATATATATATAAACATTCTGTGCTTGTTTTTGTACATGTGTTTGAGTGTGTATATGTATACCTGCATGTGTAGTCATATGTATATGTATAAGCAAATGTGCGCATGTGTGCATGATGTACATATCACATATCCATTATATATATATATATATATATGTGTGTGTGTGTGGGTGTGTGTGTATGTTATGTGTGTATGTTTGTATTTGTATAATGCGTGCATGTATGCATATGTATATGTAGAGTATAATAATTACATGATATTGCATTATAATACATTGTACTACATTATAATACATTACGTTACTTTATATTGTATTATATTATACTATATTATATTATATTATATTATATTATATTATATTATATTATAGTAAATTATGTTATATTGTATTATATTGTGTTATATTATATTATATTATGTTATATTATATTATATTATGTTATATTATATTATATTATATTATATTATATTATAGTATAGTATATTATATTCAGTTATGTTACATTATCTTACATTATATTACATTATATTACATTATACTACATTATACTACATTACAATACGTGATATTACATTATATGACATTATATTACATTATTCATATTACATTGTATTACATTATATTACATTATCTTACATTATATTACATTAGATTACATTATATTACATTATATTACATTATATTACATTATATTACATTATATTTCATTATAGTATATACATGTGCCGATGCATTATGAAGCACATGTACATATGTAGGTTGGTCGGCATGTGTGCATGCATGTATATATGTAGGTATGCTTGTACGCATGTATGCAGGTACTGAGTAAGTAGCCATGTAGGTATGTAGCTATGTAGGCCGGCATGCAGGCAGAGCGTCAGGCAGACAGGCAGGCAGGTATATGTGCTAGCGAGACCCTCTTTCTGCTCCACAAACCGAAATCAACAAAGTCCTGCCGTCCATGCGGCCCACACACTTCCCGATGCCTACACCCCAAACCCTGTAAAGTTCAAGTTGCCACAACAAGAAGACAAGGAGAGCAAACCATTTGCAAAAGGCCGACTCTCGAGTTGGGGAATTGGGTTTAGGGTTTAGGGGTTTAGGGATGGTTTAGGGTTCCGGAGTTTAGGGTGAGCTAAGTTCCTCACCAAGAAGAACCGAGCATATGTCTTTATAAGACAGTACGAGACTAAGGACCTGTAGACGGTAGACTACAGATGCAAAGCCATCTATCCAAAGGTGCTGAAGAGAAGCTTCCGGTTAGATTATTCCGAGCCTTCTTGCCCCAGATAAACCGTTATTTCGAGCCTTCTTGCGCCGGATGCCGATCTTGTGGAAGAGATAAGTGTGCAACTCTAGCTCTCGTTGAGGCTCCACCCACTTGCTTTTTCCGAAGTCGTTGTTCTTGGACCTGCAATCTCTAAGGGCCCACGTACTCCAACAGTATGTGAGGAGGGGTTTAATGAGGGTTTGGTGAGTGTATATGACGGATTCCCCGAGGGTCAGGGTACTCAATACTTTAGCAACCTCGTCACCTGCATAGTCGCTTAGCGGCCTTTGCGTGCGGTGCACAAAGCCTCACCAAAGACTTTAGGAACATTACCCCCCCCCCCCCCTATGTAGCTGGGCTTCTGGGGATATATGCCCTGGGCCGAAAGGATATCGCATGTCCTACCAGCGTCTATGGAATCTACGGGGCCCAAGCCGCAACGTGCAATCTGGGATCCTGACTTTAGGCAAGCATTGGATTTAGGTGCAATACTGTGGTTCAGGGTTTAGGGTTGCCCCACATCCTGAATCGGCCTACTGGGCCCACTGTCTCAGGCAAGCGTTTGTCAGTCCAATACGACTTTGAAACCCCCGAACAGAGAAAACTATGGGCTAACGCACAAACCCTAGGACACTAAACAGTCCAAAATAAGTACCATTTATGCCCTTTGGACCCCAGAGTAGGTACTATTTGTTTACTTGGAGTCTTACCGAAATGCACCTGAAGTATCGGCGCGCAAATGTGCTTTCGTCCGGCAGACGGCTATCCAGCAGGCGTAGAAGAGGGAACCTGAGCGTCTAGGCAATGCTGGCTGGAATTGACCCCACTTATAACTACCCATGAACCTCCAGGTATCCCATTATTGGCGGCCCAACAACCCCCTCATACGCCAATGCGAAGAGGCTTACTCAACTATCTCCAAGCCTTCGTAAATATGTCGAGCTGCCCGAGCCTGGTGTACTCTCAACCCTAGATGCCAAAACTCTAATAGGGTTTAGGGTGCAGGGTTTAGGGTTTAGGGGGCAGTCGGTGCCTGGTACAAGCTCGGAGACCGCACAAGTGCAGCTCATGAGTGCACCAACGATCGCTGGACCACTGGAGGGCGGCTATACAAGTTGGTTGCTGACCAGACCATTGCTGCCAATGTAGCCCTCTCCGGCGACAAGAGGCTGCAGCTTGACTGTGGCTTGGTGAATGATTGTTGGGCCAACTCCGTCCACTTGAATATTTGTTTCGAGGTCAACAGCCAGTTGGTTACAGCGCTATCTCCGGATTGTAGTATTGCTGTGCTGCCACGCACCTTGCACTACGGCTGCCACCTTGTCGCTCTCTGCCGTAGCGAGCGTGCAGCTGCATGGCTTAAACACTCCTTCCCTCTTGTCCAGCTGTGGCAGCACCGTGGCGGCGAGTCCTGTCCTTCGGAGGTCTCCTTCCTGCCAATGTCGCTGAGAATGCCACAACTTGTTCGTCCCCATCCTGCCGCCGCTGGAGTGTGAGCTGAGCCTGCGCACGCTTCGAGCTCACATTGGAAGTTCGCTTGGGATCTGACCCAGACCTCCAAGAGGATCTCAACAGTAGATGCCCTAGTACTAGTCTGCAACACTAAACCCCAAACACGAAACCCTAAACTACTGAAAGGGTGCTGTATAGGAACCTCATTAGAGGATCTACTGCTAATTTCGGGATCCTCCTTGGGCTCTGGGAAGCCCCTGCCCCGCTTAAAATCAATCAGAACACCTCCTTAAACATATGTGAAGAATGGAAACGAAGAAGCACAAGACAAGTACCGGTTCAGGGTTTAGGGTCTCAAGGTTCTTAGGGTTCAAGGCCCCAGACCTTCCAAAACCCCTTTAATTAAGGAAGATATACTTTACAACCCCTTCAATTAAGGAAGATATACTTTACATGATCGTAGGACACCTAAGATGGTTTAAGGTATACATTCCTTGATTCCTTAGTTAAGGGATTCTGGAAGACCTGGAAATCCAAGCAGCATCAAGAAAACACATAGACCCTAAAACAGATCGCTTGGCAAGTTAACAACAGCCAATACTGGGGGCATTCTTGGTTCGAAGCGGGGTACTACTTGAGTCCTGAGCCCTAAACACCAATACCTAATTATATCCCAAACCCTGCACCCCATACCTAAACCCTGAACCCTACTACCTAAACCCTGTAGATAAACCCAAAATCCTTACTACCTAAACTATAGGACCTAAACTTGCCCTAAACCCTCAACCGGCTAGCCGCAGCTGTGTAGCAGCTCCATCGCAGAGTTCAGCACGGGCGTGCCACTGATGAGGATGAGGAACTTGGCTTCCTTCCACCGCAGGGGGTTAGGTTTAGGGTTTAGGGTTTGGGGTGAAATCATTACTCCAGAAGCCTTGGAGCGATAATGTTACTTAAAACCTCATGTTCTCGGTATGCGGCCGGGCGGTAAAACTAAAGCTGCGGCTTCTGGATTGAGGCTCCTGGGTTTCATGGTCAGGATTTGCTCCGGGTACGGTATGGGGTTTAGGGTTTAGGGCTCCGGGTTTAGAGTTTGATCAGGATCCAGGGATGCCAACTCCATGAGGAGGAAACGCCAATCACCAGAAGCCACGAGACACAACTCGACAGGACCTCAGGTTGCAGAATGCTGCGCTCAAACCGTAAACTCGGCCTTTCAGGGTTTAGGGTTTAGGGTTTAGGGTTCAAGTTCCTAAATCCGAAGGCCCATTGCCCTCGGCCAAGCTCTGCGCGATGCGACACAAACGCTCTCAAAAGCACAGACGATACCGAACGCTTGCAGAGGCCCAGCAAAGTGCGCAACTCCTTGCCGTCGAGTGGACCATATGCCCGCATGCATCAAGACAAAAGCCTGAGTACTTAAGCCTTAGACGTGAACTGCCGTACACCCTCCAACTATCCCTGAAAACTGACCCACAATCTTCCAAACCTAACTCTATCACCCCTAAACCCTAAACCCCTAAACCCCTAAACCCTAAAAACTCGAAGCTTGTCCCACAAAGCAAAGACTCCAATTCCCGGAGCGCCTCTGCTACTGCGTACACTGCACGCGATCGCTTGGCTTCCGGGTTCTTGACGTAATGGCACCTTTTCGAAGCATAAATTTCTGATTTGTGTGTAAGGTGTAGATGGCACCTTTTCGAAGCATAAACTTCTGATTTGTGTGTAAGGTGTAAGAGGTTCAGGCAGTGGGGTTTCAAGGTGAGAGAAGGCAGCAGTCGTGTCTTGTCGACAATGCGACATTGTGGTCGTAGTCGTGTCGTCGAGGCGGTCATCATCGTCGTAGCAGAAGCGGTATTTGTCATCGTAGTTGCGGTCGCAGTCGTTGTCGTAGGCAGCACCAGCAGCAGCAGCAGCAGCAGCAGCAGCAGCAGCAGCAGCAGCAGCAGCAGCAGCAGCAGCGCAGCAGTAGGACCAGTGGTAGTAGTAGAAGTAGTAGAAGTAGTAGTAGTAGTAGTAGTAGTAGTAGTAGTGCTAGTGCTAGTGCTAGTGCTAGTGCTAGTGCTAGTGCTAGTGCTAGTGCTAGTACTAGTACTAGT